ATAAATAACAAACATCAAAATAATATTAGGCTCCATTCTCTTCCAAGCTCTTATCCAGGGTTTCCTTCCCACCTCTCACACAAACAGAACATACAGTGCTGCAGGGTCAGGTCAGTAGGGCTAAAGAAAACTGAATTAACAATTGCTTCAGTGGAGTCATTTCAAAACAAGCAAGCGGTTTGTCAGGCTAGACACAAGTCACGTGACATAGTTTCACTGTTTTTTATAAAAGGAAACTTTGCTCCAGATCAGTAGGGCTATGCAAAACAGGCAGTTAGAGTTAAAACATGTCACCCATGGTATTAAAAGACTCTGAATAGGGCCAGATGTGGTCACACTGAGGAGTGAAGAAAATAAAATATAATACACAAAATTACTGTGAGATCATTGAAAACTACAACACTAGAGAAGACGTATAAACTATCCATTTTACTTCCACGGAAACAGAAAACTGCATCTGATTACATATGTTTGCTTATATAGTGTGGATTGCTTTCATCAGCAAAACCAGATGATTATTACATTATTTTATTAAGTTATTATGGTCTTTGTTGAGTTATTGGGGCAAATGTTCCTGATTTTACTTTGAAAGAGAACTTTAAGTATTTTTTGCAATGTTCACATTGAGCTTATTGATGTTATTTCAAGCCAAAGTGCTCAAAAATGATTTCAGCAGCAAACTGGAGCTAAATGAGGTGTCTGAAAGTGTGCAGTTAAACTCTCATTCACTGGAGAGATTATCACATACCCAAGAAATTTTAATCTAAAACAAGACCTTAAAAGGCAAATGTAATAGACAGGATCTAAGATACAAAGTATGTTCAGTTGGCTTTTTATCTTCTCTATCTGTATTTTAGATGTTTGTCACAGATGCTCCTTTTTTGTGATTACAACCCAGTATACAAAGTAAGAAGAAAAAACATTCATACAGAAATATTTTAGAAGTCACAAATGACTCATATAATATATCTCATCCTTTCAGTAGGTTTAAAGACTTTCTCAGACATTTGGTAGCACTAATCAGGAGCTGATCAGGGCAGCCACATATATCACCTCCTCTCTAAGTTGAAATTGGGACAGTTACCACATTAGTAGCTCGACTGAAAACTGCAAACACAGGACCTGGACTTGTGTCACATTACATGATCAAAGCATTCTGTTTATTTTAGTCAGATTGAAACAAATTGTAGACAATTAAAAAGCAATTTGACTACTAATCTGAATATCTTGATATGTTAAAGCCAACAATGGTGCTCAAATTCTCTTAAAAGCTGTTATTTTTTATTTTATTTTCCAAAAGTTTTTTTTTTATTTCAGGCCAAACAATCACACAAGACAAAAACAGGAATACATACAAAATGACAATACGTTTAGGCAAGTAAAATATACATATGACCGAGTGAGTGTATTTAACACTACATATAGTCCCACTTTTCACAAGAGCTCATTTTTTCCCCATTTCAAATCATGCTGTTCTAATTTGCAATGGTTATTGCAGATTATTTTATATAAGATATTGGCTTTGCAATATATATATATATATATATATATATATATATATATATAATAATTCAGATTTGTTCTTGAAAGAGCTTTAAATATATAT